GGCACGTCGATGACTTTGGCTGAGCAGATAATTGATTTTGAGATCCGGATGATTTTCCATGTCGACCCAGTATTTCTTGCACATATCCGATGCATTGAAAAATGTACTGTTATAATACAGATGGCTGTCCGTCATCACTTTGGTGACATTCTTATGATCGGCCGTTGTGTTCCCCACATCGGAGAACTTGCTGATAGAAATATCGCTGATATCGTCCGTCGTGTTACTTTCATCAGGGCCGATCGTCTGCGGCGTGACCACGTTTTTCGGCGTGGGCGACGTCGTGAGCGTTGGCACCGTCGTCTGACTGTTCTTAGTCGGCTGCTGCTCCTTGTTGGTGTTGTTATGTGTCCACGTCTGATTTGCCCAGACGTTTACCTTCGGCTACGAACGAATTATATAAAAATTATAAAGCGATTTGGAAATCGATACTTGAAATAATAATTAACACTTGAAGTGATTCTTAAGCAATCGAAATTTGAGCGAAATTGTCGCTCAAAATTACTGTTCGACGAGCGCGCAATATTATTATTCATCAATACATTCGTTGCTACACCCACCTCATCGACTGGATCAGTTTGCGATGGAACCTTCTTGATAGGCTTAGGAACGGAAGTGGTCGAAGGCGCCTTGGTGGTCGAAAAAGTCGTGGAATACGTTACTGTGGTCGTATTAACCGGGTGTATCGGCTGCACCGTCGGCGCTTGTTGCTCTTGCTGTTGCGGCAGTTGTTGTTGCGGCTGCGACTGCTGTTGCGGCTGCGACGGGGCTTGATCCTTAAGCGATTCGTCCTTCTGCTCAGTCGCCACCGTCGGCTTATCAGGTGTCGCCCGGCGTATTCTCGCTACATCCGTGCCATCGGTCAGTTTGATATTCATAGATCGTTGATCCGACAGTGACTTGCCCTCCAATAAGGCGTAATTGTAATAAGAATCATCTGGAATGGAAAAGAAAGCGTATGAAAAAATTGTCATAGTGCTAAAATCTTGAAAGGAAGTATTTTTGAAAGCAGGAACGATAAAATACTAGAACTACGTTTTCATGACGAAGAGAAAGTCAGATTAAAGTAAAGAAGAACGACGCTGTGGGATTTAATATGGATTCTGAAGAGAATTATCTTAAAGATTGTTCAGAAGAAGAATAAATTTTCACTCCTCGTTCACGTTTATGAAACAGAAATTTGGATTATAATTATAATCCAAAATCATTAATGAATGTAAAATTTGGATATTATTTTATTTTACTCATTTATGTGTAATGAGCGAAGACTCTGCTGAGAGTAAAACAGAATTATGCGCAATATCACTTTCTTTCACAACGATGGATTTAACATGGCGAACTAAAATGGCTTGTTTATTAGCCGAAGTGAGGACAGTGGCCACATGTAAAATTACTAATTTCTAATTAGCGACTGTGATGTAGCAAAAAGCGTAATGGTCCGAAAATTATAATGACTCCAATAGGCGATTATGCGACTAGCGATTAATTATGCAAATGGTAGCGATTAATTGTGCTGCTCTAGTTGAACGCGGCTAATTGGCTAACGGTCAAGAAAATAATTGGTAATTATTGTTAATCAATCTTTTCTATTTTTTTATATTTGTATTAATCGTGCTTTTATGATGGTGCGGAGAAATACGCGCTAAATGTGCGCACAAGAATTCATCTCGATTTGTCCTTGGGATTGCGTCGCAATTACGATTCTACGCGATAGATTATTGAATGATGACTCGAATCTATGACACATGCATGGCTGCATTACGCGCGTGCATTGTCTTCGGTTCGCACAGGTCCGTCGATGCGGCTCTCCCTTCGAGGGGATCGGATATCCATTTAACTGACGCGTTAACGTCAAGCCTGTCGTCGGTGTCCGAGATCAGTACCATGAAACGTGGATTAACCTCGATTTCTACGTTCGCGATAGCCGCGAGGCGAATAATAGACAGTTCGAAGGGGAAAGTGGCGCAAAACAAAAATTTCCCAACCCATAATTTGTATCAAACTTATTATCGTGATTTCATTTTTATTTAAATGAATAATTGCTAACAATATGCATTTTTTAGACACTTTGCAGAATGTAATCATTTTTTATCGGTAGCCGAGTATGAATTGCAAATTGTCTTTTTACATTTACGTGAAAGTAATGTAAATTGATGTTAACAATTTTGTTTTACTTCACAGACTATTATGAAAAATAATTGCGATATATATATATGAATAGATAGATTTATTAATAAATTATAGTGAAATTGCTTAACTCCATGACATAAAAAAGCAGTGCGTGTTTAGAATCGCTGGCGGAGAGGAACGGGAAGTTAGGCGGTGCGATCGACCGGATAGGGCAATAATTGGCGATCCGACAGATCGGAGCGAACGTGCAAGCTTGACGTCAGTGTAAACGCGCAAGCCGGAACTGATTGACCGGACAAGCCTTTCATCTTGGAAAGCTTCTTCTTATACTCTTTATTTTCGGTGATTGTATTTCTAACTTTCTTGATAACTGACTTTTTCATAGGACGCAGTTCTGATACTGCGTTATAAATTATGTAATTTCTAAAATAATTTTTACCTCAAATATTCTCATAAAAAATTTTTGAACATACGCAGGAAAAGGTATTATCTCAGTAGCCGAAATTAATTTTTACCACTAAATGGAAAAGTATAAATAAGAACATGTTAATTTCGAAAAATAAAGCCATAATTGCGAAACAAGTCCGAAGAATTTTCAAGTGCGCATTAAAGAACCGACTTGATTTCTTAATATAATCCTTAATCGTTTCGCTGAAATACCCGATCGTAAATAACACGTCGGGCGGAAGATGCAATAGCGAGCAAGCGATATTCGCAGCTCCTCGCCCACGCGTCAACAATGCCAAATTGCATCGCGCGTTAAAATTTCGTCCAAAACATTACACTGGGTTCAACTAACCTATCCGGACCTAACGCAATTCCGACTATTTATTCCGAGGTAGTCACTTTAATGTTATAATCGCTATTTGAGCTGCGCATAATTTGTAAAACTGGATTGTAAATTTGCGAAGCTCAGTCGACCGACTTCCATGGATTTTAATATTCATGATGTTGACTAGTTCGAGGTAATATCAAAGGTATGAGTATGTACTTGTATGGAGTTTCAAACGTTTAATGCAAGATCGAGTCTCTTGACAAATAAATTAAATTAAACAGAAACAGTATAGCGTTCGAGTGCGCAGAACAGTCCCGCGCTTGCGCGCTTGTTTGTGCCTCCTGCATTACTACTTCAATGTTATTTGCTGTAATTATTGAGAAATATTGCAGGTCGCGCGGGATATTGCGAGGCACGCTAAAAGTTACAACATACGCCAGAAATATGCGTCTTATTCCGAACATTAAATTTCGTTCGTTTCAATTCACGTTCGCGTATTTCATTCTTTTATTCTCAGCACATTTTTGCGTACTAGCAGTAGCACAAGAAGAAATGCAGTGTGCAGCCTTGAACAAAAACGCAAAGTAATGAATGTTAAAATTAAAGCGACAGTGAATAATAATGTAGTGGTGGAATTAAATTTCGCTATTTTAAGGACAACACAAATAATTGAAATATGATATTGATCTAAAAGCAGATTGCAAAAAAGAAATTTTAATGTCTTTTTTTTTAATGTAGCTAGAGCATCCGAGATCGATTAATATTACGACTTCAATTAAGTGAATTTGCACTTTACATTCAAATTTACGAATATATGAACGCTGACGATACGTGTGTGCGTTGCGCGCCTCAAAATGCAATGCGCCGCGTGTCTCACGCGATACATGCTAACCAACATCCATTAGATAACCGGAGGATATACGTTTTTAACGTACAATGTTATATTTTGTATAATTAAAGCGCGAGCCGGTTTGCCAAGCCAACGTGAAAATGCGTTGGCGTTCCGACGTCTCCGCGTGTATGCATGATATATTTAGACGCGGTAAGTAAAAAAGATGTTACGATATTTTTACGACATAAATAAGTAGCTAAGAATAGATGACATCCCTCTTGGAATTATTTTGCAATGTCAATGGAAGATTTAGATAAGACTAACATAGAAAAAAATAAGGAAACTTAAATCTACGCATTTAATTAAAAATATATTAATATGAAACAATAGCGAACATTTTCTAACGATAATAGTCGTTAAACATGATTAAAAACGATAACGATTAATTTTATCATAAAGTAGGAATATCATATGATGTCAATATTTACGCCGTAAATAAATAAATTGCGTCGGTGCCATCATTAACCTAATTATTTTAATTATCGTATGAAAATATTCTATTGTTTCAATTTTTCAATCTCGAAAGAAACACTTTATTATCACATTTTGTCTAGTAAGTTGAAAAACAATCATGGCCTTGAGATATTAATTAGCGTGGAATTCCCGATAAAGAAACATATTCATCATTTGTGTTAGTGTTCTTTGGTTCGTGTCATTCTCTATAAAGACGGGCATAAAAAAAATAAAAATAATTAATTTCGGAAAAAATTATAATTAAAAAAATATTTGTGGAGATTTATTAACATGGAATTCTTGATAAATAAAAAAAGATATTCATCATTTACATTAGCATTCTTCGTCTTATATCATCCAGACATGAAAAAAAAACAAAAAAAATTAAGAAAAATTATAATTAAAAAAGATTGACAAGATTTATTGAGAAATCTTACTTGGTACATAAATTCGAAAAGTAAAGATAACTATCGTACATTTGATAGATGACGGTCTTTTTCTCACGACGTTACTTAGCAAGGTTTTCAATAAATAATGACTATGTTTCAACAATATCGAATGTATTAGGTATCATTAGATTAAGCAAATGCACGCGCATGACAAAAATAACTCATCTCTAAAAAGGCCGTTCGCACTTTATCCTATGTTGGGCACGCACGTCTGATTGTCCTCGTTCTAAATCTTTTTAAGGAGATTTAGCCATCGTGCAATCAACGACAAGTCCTTGGATTCACGATGATTAATTGACTTTAATACGACCACAAATAAGTCACAAGATTTATGTACAAATTGCTGATTATTTGAAAAATTAACTTACAAAAGGAAAAAAAGTTTGTCAGTTTTCTTTTAACTAACTTTTTCCTGCTTTGCTTTTTTTATAAAGAATGATATTAATATCTTTTCAAAAATATTCTCTTTTAAATTTTTACATCTGCATATAGTATATGAATAATTGAATATTAATGCAATTTACATACAATCGCGATATCAGCATTGTGACGTCAAAATATCACGGGATGCCTTTATTCGCATCGATCATTTCCCGCGGCATACTTTCGTTCACTTCAGATATCCGTCCGGCGTAATTGGATGTGCGTGAAAGGTTTTCCATGTACATCCGATAATAAGGCGCGTCCATTGATCCTATTACGCTCACGCTTTTTCCGCTTCCTTTCCCATTTTGCCGGTGCCCGCGATATCAGGGCGGAAACGAGGCGACAATCAATGTCAATGCTACACGCGCCACCACCTACATTCGAGGACAATCTTTCCTTTACGAGCGAAATATATAAGCGCCAATAAAATCCACAACTTTTTCAAGCGAGAAAGTAAAATGTAGAGATAGAAGAGAAAAAAAAACATTCTTGAATTAAGCAATTGAAACTCGAAGATGACGAAATGTTTCCGTGAAATCTGTAACAAAACGGCATTTGTGTCGATAATTCTATCGGCTTGCGTCATCGTCTAATTTGTCACAGAAAAATCCATGGTTCAAATGTCAGATATCGACCAGCGCTGTGAAAAAATGAAAGTGCGCAAACAGTCGAATCGTTTCCCAATCTTTCCGGCAACGCTCTTCCGGTGTAAAAATAAACAGAATCCAACGAGATTGGTAACGTAACACCTATGCAGTAGGTGTTGATTGAATATTATTATTACACAATATATGTTTAATTTTAATTTTATA